AAAATAAATAAAAAAAAGATAGAGATGATCTGTTACAGATCATGGAGATCATGTATAAACACAACAGATAGAGATGATAGAGATGTATAAACACAACATCATCAACAAAAAAAAATCAAAATAAATAAAAAAAAGATAGAGATGATCAGATCTGTTACAGATCAGTGAGATCGGCGAGATCTGGGAGGAGGAGAGGACAGCGGAGGAACCACTCTATTCGGAGATGGGATCTGATCTTTTCAGATCTGAGATGTAAGATCTGCGGTGGTATGGAGGAGCTGCGGTGAGGAACGACGGTGAGGGAGGAGCCGTCGCCGACATGGTGAGAGACGATGCGGTAAGCGGCGGTGCGGTGAGAGACGGTGCGGTGAGCGGCGGTGTAGTGAGAGACGGTGCTGTGAGAGGAAGAGAAGAAGAACGGAGGTGCGGTGAGAGGAGACACCATGAGGGCTGCGGTGGTGAGGAACAGATGAGAAAGAGCGAGAAAATGTGTGTGTTGTGTGGGTTGCATCTGCCAACAGTGCCCAGACCCTACACACACTCACACATATAATATATATAAAAGGGGCAATATAGTAATTTTACATCAGGGATTCAGCGGGGCGGGGATCGGGGACGGGGCCGGGCCGGGTCCGGGGCTGAAATATGTATCCCCGTCCCCGGCCCGAATATCATCGGGGATTCAATTTTTAATACCATCCCCGGCCCGTCGGGGGTATTTTTCGGGGAATAACCACTCAATTCGGGGTCGGGGGATCGGGTCCCCGTCGGGCCGGGTTTCAATTGCCATCCCTAGTTGAAATTGGTAGACTGTTACAATTAGAAGGTGGGAGACCAAAATGAATAAATTCTAATAAAAACAAATGGTACAAATACAATGATATAATTTACCCTTATTATTATTATTGATATTTAAAATTTTTGCTCCAATCTAAGCTTTCATTCGGCTAAGTGTAAAAGGTCAACATAGTACAAATATTCCTACAATGGCCTCTCTTAAAAGTAAGGGCAAATTACATATGTCTTTCGAGGTTTAGCAAAATTACTGATATTCTTAAGCTTTGACAAATTACAGAGACTCTCTGAAGATATTATTTACATAACAAATTAAGGAGCAAATTGTTATGAAAATATAAACCTCAGGGAGCAATTTGTTATGAAAATATAAATCTCAGGGGTATCTGTAATTTCCGAAACCTCAGGGGTATTTGTAATTTAGTTAAACCTTGAGGGAGGTATATGTAATTTGTCCTAAAAATAACTCTTTTATATCACTTTTTTATTTTTAACTTGTGTTTTTAAAAAAATACAAAAAAAAAAAATTAACTTTTAACTTACTTTCCAAAACAACCCAATATATCATCACTAATTCTGTTCTTAATCCTAATCACTTTGCTTGGTTAGAGTTTTCCAAAAACACTTTCAGAAAATTCTACTTTCTTATTTTCTTTTTTCTTTTTTTTTTGTTTTTACTAAATTTTTTTTAATATTTAAGCAATTTTTTAAATTTTTATGCAAGCCTAATATAAATTATACCTAAAAAGTAAAAAATCTAAAAAAAACATTCACAAAATTCAAGTAATACCAAAAAATACAAAAAAAAAATCAAAGAATTCAATACAGTTTTTTAAAATACTTTTATCGTATTTATTAATTTTTTAAAATATTTTTTCCACAAAATTTTTTACTTTTAGATACATCTAATGAAGGTCTATCTAAAAAAGGTAAAAAAAAGTTAAAATTTAAAATATGCATAAAACAAAAAAACCCGCAAAATAAAAGAGCGAAAATCAAAAATCTTAATTTTCAAAAATTAATCCAAAAAAACTTCAAATCAAATACTTGAGAATATATCATATTGTAAAACCTGCATACAAAACTTATACTTCACGTTATATAGCATGATTTTATTTTCTTAGTACATTCATTGTCACTTATGGTCCCTTTATTAATGATGTTATACAAACTCCTTCATAATGTCTTTCAACAGGAGGTAGCTAGCGGATATTTCGATCCTACTCAAAACTGACCAATCATCGAACTGATCCCGTCACATTTTAGGAAGGATGCGTGATGACGAGCGGACAATTCTGCAGATTGCCTTTTTTCCCATAATCCGCTAAGCTTTTGGACGGATGAACGATATTTTGAATTATTTTGACTGCAACCAAACTACTAAATTGTGAGCACCCACTTGACAATTTGTAAGGAATTTTATATTTTCAATTTTGTTTAAATATCTCTCTTTGTATTTTCAATTGCAAAAAAAAGTTTACAGTATTCTGTTGTATTGTTCCATTTAGGAAATCTCTTTTAGTCAATGGCAAGTATTGATCTTTAGATATTTTGTGTGGAAAATATAAGTGTTGAATATTTTTTTCAATTTACATAAAAAAATCAAATTAATAGTTTTTGAATAGATAAAAAGGTAATAAAATAGTTTGATAATGCATTGGCTTCCTTATATATATTGTTATTATTGATATTTGACAATTTTACTTGATACTCTTTTGGTATGGATTTGAAGTTTATGTTTTCAAAATTAAAATGTGGAAAAGATTATTACTAATTATTTTCAAATTTGTAAAGAGTTTATAATTGCCAAATTGATTCGCATCCATCCGCCAATTCGCTAATACCGCTCAATCCGTATCCGCAATTGCCCGACAGACTCGAGTGCGTGCAATATTGATTTTTTTCTCTAATTCAATTCATTCGCAAACGCAATGGCGAGAATTAAGGGGCTAACTCGAGCCCGCAGATTACGGAGACCGTGAACAACCACCCCTACTTCTCAATCTCATATGAACAATATTGGAATCTAAAAAATGTTATATACAATGAATTTTTATCCTCTAATAAAATTTATTCTGAAAGTAGATACATGCCATAAATTGTAAATTTAGTAAGACATGGACTCCATTTAAATTGAATGTAAGTCCCATTAGAATTTACTTTTTGAAGTAAATCATAGTAAGAACAATTTCTTTTAAAATACTATGATATTGCTGTATTATAGAGGTTGGACAACGATATTTGATTTCGTTCAAAGACCGATAAACCAAATTCGTCGTAATTTTAGATGGATACGTGATTGACAAAACGGTACGGTTTACCGGATTGATTTTTTTGATTAACTGCCTAGTTTTGGACGGATAGTGGCTTTGAATTTTTTTATAGCGCAACCGAACTGCTAAATTAGGAGACACCGCGGCTTAGTAATATTTGTAAGTTTGTATTTTAAATTTATTTAGATATTCTGTTTTGTGTTTTTCAATTGAATAAATTAGTTTTGAATATTCTATATGTGTTTTCAATTTAAAAATTCTTTATCAAATTGACAAGTGTTAATATTTGGTATTGTTTGGTGTTGAAAATATAAGCATTAGTTTTGTTCATATTAAAAAAAAATAAGTTAAATTAGTTTTTGAATTATAAAAAAAGTAAATGAAATAATTTTGATAATGCATGGTTTTTCATTATATGTTATTTATTAATTGGTATTTGAACAATTTTAACTTGATAATCTGTTTGGTTATATTTGAAGTTAGATTGTTATCAAAGCAAAAAAAATGATAAGTTTTGTTGTATTTGTTCACAAAATTTATAAAAAGTTTTAAACCTCACAAATCCGATTCGTATTCATCCACAAATCCACAATTCTGCTTCATCAGTATCGTCAATCTGGTGGGACGGATGCGGATTAATTTTATTTTCATTCCGCCAATGTTCAGTTAGATCCGCGTAGACGCGATTAAAAATTATAATTCCATCGGACTGGTTAGTCCCTTGGGATACATTAATCCGCGAGACTATTTGGTTGGATTGGGAATTTGTATCCTATGTTTTTTAGTTCATGTGATAGATGTTCCTGGATTCGAACTATTTTATAAATCCAATGTTTGGTTAGACGACTGGATAAGGATTAAATATTTAAAAGACTATTTTTACCCCTTATAAACTAATAATTTATAATTTAACCAAACACTTAAAAAATTTATTTATAAGGCCAAAATTTTTAATTTATTATTTTCAATTAAATTAAATTGTATTTTATATTTTGATTTTATTATTTTAATTATATAATTATTAAATATATCGACGAATAAAAATAATTCTGCTCATTTAATACATAAATTAAATTTTCAACAACACTAAAAAAATTTAATTTATAAGGCCATAATTTATAATTATTATTTATTATTTTTAAAAATAATTTAATTTATAATTTAATATTTTTTATTTAATATATAATTTTTAAAATTAGACAATACTAAAAAAAAATTATTTTAATATGTAAATTTAAATTTTTTTAACAACATTAAAAAATTTAATTTATAAGGCCATAATTATAATTTATTATTAATTTAATTTTAATTTATAATTATAATTATAATTTTTTATTTAATATTACTAAGTTTTAAATTAACAACACTAAAAAAAATAATTTTATAAATGTTCAAAAGACTATTTTACCCTTTTTCTAATTGTTTCCTAAGTAAATAGGCATGGAGGGAGAAATGGATATTTCACAAAATAATCGGCATTCAGGCATAACCAGATGGCCCATGGTTTTTCTTATCCCCACCCTTCCATGGGATGAATGAGTCCAGTTTGTGGACTTGATGGTGACCTCCCGGGGGACTATTAGATCCGGTAGGCAAATTTTTTCAAACACACATAATGTGACTATTAGTCTTAGTGGATACTAATAGTCCCAATTCCACCTCGGGGTGAGCACCGTAAAGCACGGTGCACCGACAAAATCATCACCACCAATCGAACATGGTCGCTAAATGCAATCCGCGTGCGTCTGTGGTGGTAAGTGGCCAATCAACGCCTCAGCCTCAGTGGCAAACACTCGCTCGGGACTGTGGGAGAGACTGCTCTGGCTCAGCTCAAAATACAGCGATATCTCTGTCGCGGCCATTCG